AGCCTGGTCTACAGAGTGAGTTCCAGGACAGCCAGGGCTACACAGAGAAACCCTGTCTCGAAAAACCAAAAGAAAAAAAAGAAAAAGAAAAAAGAAAAGAAAAAAAAGAAAAAGTGATCCTCAGGTAATAAGGGATATGGAGCCTGAAGCAACCACCTCTGGTAGCCAGGAAGGACTCCCAGTGGAGGAATAAGTACAACAATCTACCCATAAAAACTTGCGCCTACAATTTGTCCTCCCTACAAGAAGTGAAGAGGCAAAGATGGAGCAGAGACAGAGGAAATGGCCAAACAATGACTGGCCCAACTTGAGATCCACCCCATGGGCAAAAATCAGTCCCTGACACTATTAGTGATACTCTGTTATGCTTACAGACAGGAGTCTAGCATAACTGTTCTCTGACACACTTCACCCAGCAGCTACTAAAACAGATGTGGAGATCCATCACCAAACGTTAGAGGGAGCTCAAAAAGTCTGGGGAAAGAATTGAGGGAAAGATTGAGGTACCTGGATGGGATAGGGACTCCACAAGAAGACCAACAGAGTCAACTAACCTGGACCCTTGAGGGCTCCTAGAGACTAAACCACCAATCAAAGAACAAACATGGCTGAACCTAGGCTCAGATGTGCAGCTTGGTCTTCTTGTGGGTCCCGCAACAACTGGAGGAGGGGCTTAGCCTGACTCTGTGGCCTGTTTGTGGATCCTGCTTCCCTAGCTGGGCTGTCTTGTCTGACTTCAATGGGAGTAGATGTATCTAGTCTTACAGTGCCGGGGTGGGTTGGTTCCCCAGTAGGAACCTCCCTTTCTCAGAGGTGAAGGGGAAGGGAGAAGGGGAGAAGCCTCTGAGGGAAGACTGGGAGATAGGGGTGCATTCTGGATGTAAAATAAATAAATAAACAAACAAAGAAATGGAAAAAATTTTTTTCAGATTTCTTTTTCTCATCAGGTTATTGTTATACTAAGACTTCAAAGGTTCAGAATTTTAACAATCAATGGAGTGCTGAACATTTTGGCTACCCATTCTCTCTTTGTATATTTGGACCTCCTGGCTGCTGCCCCTGGTTTCCCTCTCTTCCCTCTACAGTTTTCTCCCACCTCTCCCCATGTGACTCAGGGTCACATCCTCTCTGAACTCTCCCAGATGTCCCTGCCTCTGGCTATGCTCTCCCAGACATATCTATAATAAACCTTTTCCTCCACTATATCTAAGAGCAATCATGTCCCTTTCCTTTTTAGTTCACACACAACAAATAAATAAATAATAAATGTTTTTCAAATGAAGAGAAAAAAGAGGAGGAGGAG